CAAGTCCCGTCGGAGTGCCCGTTTCGGTTCTCGCCTCTCTGATGAGTATCTAGACACAAAACGTGCACTTGCATAACCTGGGAACATCTCGGAGACATCTGTCAATGTGCTGAGCACAACGGCTGTAGTTTAAAATGTTTATTGGTGTTTAAATGGCTTCTTTACCACCTCTGGTATGTTATATGCAGCTTCTAGGAGTCCCAGTATCTGCATCCAACTCAGTGTTGCTGTCTACAGCTAGCATATAGTTAAACCCCTTCTCTTTTCTGTATTTCTGGATCCCTAACCGCGCTGCAATTAGCTGAAAAGTAAAGCAGCTCTTCTAAATCTTGCTCTACTTGCTGATATTTTACTTTGTTCTTGCAACTGTCACCTCAGTATTTTTTCAAAGGTGGCATGCTTAGCATGCATTAAGTGACTGGGGACAAGATTATGCCTTTTTTTTGATCAATAACTGGTATAAATATTCTTCAACTTTCAGAACTGTTTCGTACAATTTTGGCTTCATTATAAACACCTCTTCTCTGTAAGTAAGCAGTTACAAACTTACTACACAGGAAGACTTGGATTTCTGCCATGTTTTGTATAACAGCATCTCATGCTTCTGGGAATCCTAACAATTGTAGGAATTTTTCCTGACTAGCGTGAGAATCATGTTTTACTTAGAATTTGTATAAAACTACAGTGTAAGTGTTCAGAAAGCAAGCATAGACTAAAGCAGTGTACACAAGATAACTGAGGCCAGCTGCTGTTTTCATCTCTCTGAACAACTGTGGGAGCCATTTAAACCCAGCCAGTTCCAACGCTGTAGATCAGTACAACTTTATTCTTACGAATAATCAGTAAAGATGTACTATCGCACAAAAATAAGGAAGTCAAATGTTTATTAACATTATTTCATAGTTCAGAACACCATTATTTCAATGTTTGCCTATTATGCAAAGATATCTGAAGGATTTTGCAGTGTTACCTTTTATTAAGGACTAATTGCATTCCTGGTACTGTGTGGAGGAACATAATGCTTTTTTTTTATCAATAGACTTACAATATAGAAAGTAATTTAACAGATAAGACACTTTCACACAACAGTATCTGTAACACCTTAAGACTGCTTTGTGAATAGGATAGGTATCGGTTGCCTTTTCCCAATGTGTGAAGTGATTTCTGAGAAGGGGGTTCTAAAGACACAAAGGGAGAATGTGAAACTGGTGAACAGATACCAGAAGGCTGTTTCTCGTTTAACAATGTACACATTAATAAGGGAGAAATCAACCAGCATAAAAATGAGAAAATGATTACATGCTTTCAATTATTTAACCATCTTCTATTGTAGCCCTCTTGTGTGTTGGGGCACTTCCTTGGAAAAAGGTCACGTTCTGCAGAATTTACTGAACAGCTGAGTTTCAGTTCCAGAGAAAAAAGAAGTCAGCATCTCTGCACAGGTTCAAAGCCAGTACACTGCTTTCACAAAGTAGCCCACTTGTACTAATCTGAGCTGGAAAAAGACCTTTTGTCATCTTTTAAATGTATTCATGCTATGGTTCAAGGCTTGTGAAGAGACAATTTTGCCACTGAATGGGAGAATTTTTTTAAGTAACTGACACTATTATGTCCAATTTCTTCTGGTTGATTATAATTTCTTGTCACTGTACTGAAATCATTCCTCTTACCTTCACGTGTTTCTGGGTGAAAAGCTTTCCTTTTATACTATATATGCTTCATTATATTCATAGTTCTAACACTAATTTGTTCACACTTTTACTGTTCTCCCTTCTATTGCTTCTAGCTTGTCTATCTAAATAGCTGCTTTATTTTGGGTGCTGAAAGGGTTCTTCCATCCTCGGGGCTGGTATCTGCCAATCAGAACTGGCTTAAGCTGAAATGAAGAAGAGATGCAATCCAGTTAAGTGGTTAGTAAGTACTTGAAGGATAGACAGTAACAAGTGACATGCAATACAAGCTGTTACTATGCTGAATTACAAGAAATCTATGATGGGAAAAATAGCATCAAATATATTTATGACATTATCAAAAAGCTGTGGGAAAAGTATTCTAGCATGTAGATACAGTTTTATCTTAGCTACACTAAACTGAAAGAAAGATGTAAGGTTCTTTCTTCATGTTTTATGATAAATTCACATTTAGGAGGCAAAGAGCAGCATTATTACTAAAGTTTATGGGATCTGGCTAGTTCAGCTATCCAATGGAAGATCCTTGACAAGAACAAATTTCCAGAAAGTAGTGCAGACGTAGCTATTACTGACTGAAATGTTCCCTTTTGTTCTCATGACCTTAGATGGCTATTGGTTACGATGCATGACTAGCCTGGCTGTTAAAAATTCTTTCACAATATCAAACCTAGTTCTCCCTTACTGCAGGACTGTTTGGTCCGTTACACTTCCTTCTCTTTAGTGTGTTTACCTATTTAAAGACTTAACTTGTATCTTTCCTCAGCCCTTCAATTTTTTCTCCACAGAGAGACCTCTAGACTTTTCTCAGCTGGTTCACAACTTAACTAAAACATGGTGTTCAAACCTGGATGCATAAAATAAGCTGAATAGAGAAGAATTATTTCTTGTCTTAAGTATGTTTGTTCATGTGTACATCCCCAGAATATTTTGCTTGTTTAATAGCATGCTTTAATAGCATGTTGTTGTTGTTAACTGAGCTTGTGATCCACTGTATTACCAATCCCTTTCTTCAAAGATGGGATAACGTAAGCTAGCAGCACTAGCTGACTTCAATCTTTTGGCTACTGAGCCATTCTAAAACTCTGTTTTCAACTGAATATTCAGGCTCAGATTTAACAAAATTTATCTCTGTTCACATAAACTATTGGAGCTACAACCACTTACTGCCTACAAGATACTACCGAGAAATTTCATGGCTGTCTACTGCTCATACACTAGGTGAACTGAATACATAAGGCAGATAACGACAGGTGGTGTTATTACCGCATATGGGAGTGTAAGTGATGCACTTACATATATATTGAGTGTTCTTTTTCTAGGTTTTTATTTCATGGCTAACACAATCATCTACAAAGATAGTTATTCCCCTCCTTAGTGGGTGAGAATTCAGCAAATATTTGTAAATATTAAAATATTTAAGCATACCGCAAATAAGTTTGTAGTCACCAAATCACCCTCTGGAGGGAGTAGTGAGTTTACAAATGCAAATTAATAATATTTCATTGCATATACTAAAAAACCCATCCTGTTTTCTCATTACCAAGCCTTAGAAAAGCATGAAGCATAAAAGTTAGGAGTATAAACCCAAGTGCTTCATTCCAAGCAAAAGTATAATTGGCTTTTCTGCACGATTCTGTCATTTACTTTGAGTAAATGTTTTCATTGCAGTCTTGCAAAAATATAATTGCATCTTAAGTTATTACTTGGGCAAATGTGTCAGTAATTAGTATGACAGTAATGTGTATGTATGTTTCCTCTAATGGTCTCATTCAATGAAATACAAGCATATAGCAAATTTTAGAGAAGGCTTTGTCTTTTTTTTTTTGTCTAAACTAAGGAATAACAATGCAGATGAATAAAAGAATAAGTTTCGGGGATGTTCATGGTTATTTCTCTTAAGACAGCAATAAGCAAATAGTCAACAATATTACTCAAGTGGTACAAGTTATTGTTTATATATCATCATTTATATAGCAATTTGTAGTCAATAAATATCGTAGTTCAAAGAAGGTACTGTACACAGAATATCCAATGGAGATGGAGTTTAATAAAACTGTAGAAAAGATGCATAGTGCAAATAAGTGAATATACATAATACAGAAAATGCCTAAATATACAGCCGCTCTCATCCTTAAATGGTAAGGTGTTCCAGATCACTGCAGTTCTCCAGCACAGCCAGCCATTTGTTCTTTAGGTGTTGACGTCGCAAAATAGCTAAGTTGGACTGGAGTAAGGTGACATGTACTGGAAATGGCAACTGTATAGTTGAACTGTGCGTTAACTGCAGTAACTTTGTAGTCATAATGCAGTAACTGAAGAAAATAAATGAGGGGACTAAATTTTGTTACTAACAAGTACTTTGGAGCTGTGGACTTACACAGGGTTTTTTTCTTTATGCAGGAAAAAAACTAAAAATCAGCACTTACTTACCAAGTAATACAGATACAGTTAGCAGAACACGACTCCAGTCTCTTCTAGAGCAGTGAGTGTCTTAATCTAGTTTCTGCAGCAATGTGCAATGCAGCAGTGTGTGCACCTTCACCAAAACGTGAGGATCCATAACTAACTTGCACAATAACAATGGAAATGGGCAAGGATCGCAATGCCAAAAATTTCAAGCCAGCACTACTGTTCTTTTCAGGCTTTTCAGCTTGCTCTGCATTTTTAAACAGATTCCCAGAAAACAGCTATCTGGATGACAGCTGTATTAAAATACAAGTATTGATAATCTTGAAATTCGAGGTTAAGTTTAAAGAAGATAGATTTCCTTAAAAGAGACTGAAAAGCACAAAAATAGGTCACTGAGTATGTTCACAGTGTGTCTATATGATAGGTATTACTGTTAAGATGAATCCAAATGCATTATTCGGACAAAAAAAAGATTGAAATGAAAACAGTATCTGAGAAGTGGAACTCCGTATTCTGCAAGTATCCTTCTGCCTCCTTCTACATAACAAACTAGGAGGAAATAAGAAAGCCACTAGAAAGTATGAATCGGATGGGTTATGGTGTGCTTCTAAGTGAACAGCAGAAAGGGTGAGAGACGAGGAGGAAGAAGAGTAATTCCAGGGCTAGGATCATTTTTGCTCATGCCCATAGTCGGATTCCTTAGTTTTATTTTCTCATGTGCTCTTGAGTAACAGACATGTAAGTACTGGAGCAATGCAGCCAGCATATTCAGGATGAAAAGAAAATGAAACTTACCACTGAGGAGGAATTTCCACAGGGACAAAATTTCGGTTGCACAAATGAACAAAAGCTGCTGCTAAACTGCAGGCAGCCTTCAACTCATGTGATTCACAGGCGTCGTTTGTACACATGCTGTAGAATGGTTCAGGGTCCACCTTTAACACAAAGGGGATTGTTTAGAGGAGTGGCGTGCAGGGTGCAGGCATACATCTCTTCTGGAGACTGCGATCTGGCAGCGAATACACCTGCAGGTGAACTGAAAAGGAATATGATTTGCCTTCCCCCCCGCCCCCTGCCTTGTTAGGACCATTCACAAACCTGTATTCTCTTCCTAATATTGAGGGGTTTACTTGTATTTCCAAATTCCAGACCTGTATGCTAAAGAGTGGTGCAAAGTCCTGCCACTATTTTGTGGATGTCAAGGACCTTAATTTATATTTATGGTGATATAACACTTTTTTTTTCCGTCTGGATTGTTGTTCTGATTGCTTCTGAAGTTATCCGCAACTAAACTTCTATATCCTTGCAACAATTATGTGTGTTCTGTTGAAGTATGACATTTGGGTATTCAGGTGGTCTTTTGGTGGCTGCAGTTATACTTACAACTTTGAAGCAGTTCCTAAGAAGTGAATGTGATTCTTCAAAAAACACTTTACAGACTTTTTGCTTAGCTGTAATTGGACATGGCTTCACTTTCTTCTGTACAAGACTGCACTTGTTCACCTGGGAAAAACAGAATTTCTCAAGTTGGGGTTTTTTGTTTGGTTTTTTTTAAACATCAGTGTAGCCTGAATTCTTCAGATTTCCAGCGTGAAATGGTTTGAAGGAAGATACGGGCAGCTCAGCGCACTGCTCTGATTAACATTTATTGCTCATTAATAATGAGAAGTACCTTGCACTCTTCATAGACAAAAATGTATGTCATACATATTACAGACGTTGTTTCCTGTTCCTATTGATTTTGTTATTCACTGAAAGATTTTGGTGGGTGGCTGCTGACACAGTAAGTAGTTGGCTGGTTGTCTTAACTTTTATTATATATGGCAGATCTAGTGCTTTTACTAGAACTTTTTGTTGGAGGAAAAAAAAAAATCTTTATATCCTTGCTGGGTTATTCATAGGTAATAAACAACAAGAAGGCCTTAAAAAACTCAAAAAACCCCAAACTGGAGGTCCCCACAATTACAAGCATTTTTGGACAATAAAGTGTGAATGGATTTTTGTGGTACATGGTTCAGGTAAGGTCCCGTAGCACACCAGTCAAAAGCTGATGATACCAAATATTAACAGAACTAGTAATGAGCAGCATTTGCTAAAGTTTCTTAGGATTTGTTTTGACTGAATGTTGTTTTTAGTACTCTGTATCAGATCAGCAACTTACTATTTTTTTAATCAATAAATTCCTGGCAAATCTTTGAGTTTAGAAGTTCTCTAAGCAAGTGTAAACTCAAGTTATTTTAATTACTAAGAAAAATTAACTGCCAGTTTAATCTCTCAGATAACCCTCATCCTGCAGGAGTCAGACATTTGCAGTCTCCTTATTAACCTCCTCATTTGTACAGCAGCTGGTCTTGTAACACCAGAAATTCAAGGACGTTGTTTGCAAGGTCAGTGTATGAAGAAGGCTTGTAACAAAGCTCCTGGTAGCGAGTTGCCAGTCTGAGTTTATAGCTTGGTGTGAGGTGACTCCAGCAATGCAGAGAGACTGGCTGCTTTTATTTCAGGCTTTGGTACCTGGCCAGATTTAATCTGACTGTGTTTTCTCTTTCTGTATTGCATATAGTTGTGCTAAAACTTCTGGTCAGGAAGGATTTTTGCAAGCTCCATTTTATCAGCACAGCTGAATACACTGCCTGTTTGAACTGGGTATTTCCACCGTATCATCTCTTCCCAACGCTTTAGAAAAGTTTCTAAGACTTTGCATGAATTCCTGACTTGGCGCATTCGTATTTCTGGCCATTGCTTTAATGATGTATGACAACAGTACATTATTGGCAAGTGAGTCTTTTTATTACTTTTTTCTGAAGGGGATATGACCGCAAACAGCACAGAGTTCAGCTAGAGTCATCTATAAATTTTTCTTGGCAGTATACAGCACTTGCAAAGATGCCATGGCCCACAAATAAAACCTACGAATCAATAGTGTAAGCTCAGCCATTATGCCATCAGCCACTTCAAGGACATACATGACTTCCCAGCGTGTTTATGGCAGTAAGTTTCTTATGTATTGCTTTTAATTGATTATTATTTTTAGTTCAACTTCTCTGGGTAGTTTTGCATTAGATGGTTATATTGTTATGAATATATTAGAAGTTAGTATTTGTAGCAATTAAGAAAATTATACCTACAGTCAGTCACGTCATGATCCCATCCCATTATTAACATAAACATAGGCTGCAAACTCATTAGACATCTTTAATGAGAGAGCAAGGAAAGGTACAAGATACTTGCAGCAATCCTCTTTTTTAAAGTAAAGTACTGAAATAAAGCTGAAAATAGTACAATTCTGTGCCCAGAACTCGGACATCTTCTGGTGAGAGAAGATAAAGGGAAGAGTCACAAAATCTTAGTAGTAATAAGATGCTGGTTTCTTTTTTTTGTAATAGATTCTCAGATTAAGCTTGAAGGGATTTAGAGGATCCTGTCAACATGGCTTGAGAGCACAGTAAGGCTACTTTTTTTTTTTTTGGTCAGTTGCATTCACAAATGGCTATGTACACCTGAATGTTTTCAGATTTAGATTATTTTCAGCTGAAGATAAATTACATGAATTAAGGTTAAGTCTCTTTGAAGCAAAGAGGTATAACATTACTGGTATAAAAGAGTTACAACATTTATTTAAGGTAGTTATAGGAAGTCCTTTTACGCAAGTTAATAACTGAATCAGTAGCAGCTAACCCTCCAAAAAAGTCTCAGTGCTTAGTGGTATGAGGATGGAGAGCAACTTTACTAGTTACTGATTTCTAAAGTTTTATTCACTGATAAGATGAAAAGCAGGAAGAACAAAAAAAATTAAGAGGCTCAACCTACCCCAGCTACAACAAACAGCTCTAAAGAAAACTTCAAGAGGGAAAACTTCCTGGTACAAAGTGGCCTGACCGATGAACACACAGATTTGTCCCAGACCAAGTACCGCCTGGCCCTGCATTCCAGAAAGAGGTGTTCTAAGTAGGAAAACAACAAAGATACTTGGTTCCAACATCACTTTCTCCTAATAGCAGAAGCAGCCTCCATCTTTTACCTTACCACTTAGGCCAAAAATGCTCAACACCTATCTACAGGGAATTCTGGTACGGTTTTTAGCAAATATGTGCAACCTTTTCCCTGATTAAACATAGGAAAACAAATTATATACAGTATGCTGCCGTTTTCACTATCTAGGTTTAGTTCATCTAAGCCAAAACAGTATGGCGCACGTTGCCCTTTGTGCTCCAGCACTATTGGTATTCCGCATAGAAAGAAGCCCTCAGCTCATTACCTGCCAGCTCTGTGTGAACTCTTGCACGTTGTCAGTGAAGGAATGATTAGGAAGTATCCATTCATTTCCAGCTTCATTATCATTGGTACCAAAGAGCCCAGCTGAAATACCTGGAATGAAATTGAAATGGAGTAAAACAGTTGTCATGAATAGACACGAGAAAATTTTAGAAGCTGTTGCGGGGCTCTGATTATTCTGTACAGCAGAATATTATTATTCTGTACTTTTCCTGTGGAAGAGGGAAAGTATGCCCAGGCATCCATTGTGGATTTTTCTCAGACTGCATTGTGTCATCTTGTTTGTGAGTGATGTGAAAGACAACCCACATGCTGCTACTACAGGTGATGACAATTTGGAGATACAGAAAAAATGACACAAGCTGTATGATCAATACTCACCGTGGTGCCATCCAGCCAGAGTGACAGTACAGAGATCATACTGAAAGTCACAAGAGACAGAAACTCCTTTCTGATTAGACACTTCTATTTTGTTGGTTTCTGTCCTTGAATGAGTGGTATTCTTTTCAAGGGATTGATCCAGTACTTGGCAGTTCTCTTCCATAAAGGAAAAGTTATACATCTTGGATATCTGTTTTAAAACGAAAATGCTGTTTCAAATATGTCTCAATGAAAGTTGAATGACAGGCAAGCTCACTCTAGGTTGGCAGGTGGGATGGGGTCAACTCTGCTCAGCCCAGAGTTAGGGAATAAGAACGGGCTTGTGTTAAACTTCTGAAAGAGCAGGAAAGCACAAAGCCTCCCAGGTACACCGAGGCTATGGGCCCAGTTTGTTCTCCAGACCTCTCTAACTGCCATTCTCTTAGACCATGTAAGAGGAAAGCTGAAAATTTTGTCAAGCCTCTCTTCTCTTAAGTACCCAGAGAGCAAAGAGGCAGCCCTTGAGTTAAAACTAGTTTTGTTTTGGGGAGTTATTTCCTGATTAAAAAGTGGTTACTTTCTAGCACTTACATCTAAGAGCTGTTGTGATCTATGTTTTGAGCATTAATATTTTATTTTGAAGACTTTTTGGGTGGGTGGGTGGGTTGGTTGGTTGGTTGGTTGAAGATAATTTCTGGTCTGCAAAGGAAGAATGTTTGACTTTCCCCTCCTACCTTCAGTCTTGGGTAGATACTGATCACAGTCTGGTTCATCTCCACATACAGTGACCTTGAGTTACTAGTTTCCTCATTTAGTATTACAGTGAAAGTATTACGAACAAAATCCTTGGCAAGAAGTACACTGCACTTTGATGCCAAATCGTAAATTTTTCCATCAAAAGTCATAAGATGCTTGGTCCCCATTAACATAGCATGATCTAGAGAACGGTATTTCAGAAGAAACATCAGTGAGATTTTCCACAGAGCAGTAAGTGCTGTGCTACTACTTGCATAGTGCAACACAAACAGCTTCTGGCTGGCATACTCTTAAAATAATTTCTCAAGTTATTATTACATTTTAATTAGTTACAAGTTGCTCTGCAACAAAAATTTCTCTAGAAAGGAAACAATCTAGTAACTTCTTTTTCATTATAGATCCACCTGAGTGTCCTAAAACTTTGAGAAACATGAATTAGGATTCAAAGCTCATCTTGATTTATAGTCATGCTACTTGATTGATAGTCATATTTTAAGCCTCCCCCCTCTCCCCCCCTATATACACATTATACACTCCTATGCAGAAAACAGCAAGAATATCAACTGTCTCAAAAAACACCCTGCCAAACCAGAGCATCAAGCAGAGCTGCAGTCCAGGAAATGCTGCTGATGTATCACTGAGACTATCTGGTCACCAGGACCTACTTTCAGTGCCCTCCGTTGTGGCTGCCTACTGGGAGGAAGCCTTTAAAAATGGCTCTTTCTGGAAAAGCCATTATCTACAAGGGACAGCTGGGACTGTTAATGCAGTCTTCTAGCATTTAGCAATGCTTTTTCAGGTAATAATGTCTCTGAAGTTTTGGCAGGGCTGAGCTTTTTCATCCTGGAGTCAACAAAAGTGATGTCACCAGTTTCAGAGTATGGACAAAGCCTCCATGGCAAGACCCAGGGCCAACAGGTATGACTGGCACTGAACCATAGCATCAGCTCACAAGAGCGTACAGGTAAGAGGTAAATGCCACCTGCTGATTTCTAGTCTCAACAGTAGGAAGTGTAAAGAGTTGCAAAATTTGCATGAACGTTAAGTAGAGGAGTGTTTATTGCATGTCAGCTTTACCCAAAATGTTGATATTATACATATGATTATTGTTTTACAAGAAAGACTACATATAAAGTTCATAGGAAAATGATTAGTGATCATCTCTATGTAAACTACTATTCTAAATACGATTTGTAAAATTTAGAACTAAGTGCAAATAGACTCAGTTACAAAACAAAGCAGCAGTTTGAAGGCGCTTACATTCAAAGGGACTCTCCATCATCCTCCGTTTGAATCTATAATACTCTGCAACTATGTTGATATTGTAGAGGTCTTGGAGAGGCCTCATTAGCTTTTCTTCAATGAGATAATTAGTAATATTTGCCAGATCCAGGGAGTGGTCTGCTTTAGGAAGTACTGGCAGTTTTACTGCCACTGAACAGTTCCTGTAGAATACAAACAAAACAGCATGTGCCCTTATTTGCTAAGCTGATGAAATGCAGCTGCTTTATTATTAGAAATGTGGAAGTGAAATATTCACAAGAACTGTAGTCTGGTTAACATGGCAAAATGACGATACACAATGGCTAAGACCTGCAATGCACCATGCCATATAAGGCCCGTTATCATAGTGATTGCTATTCTGTTTGCTGCCGAGTAGCTTCTTTTGAAATGCAGCCTGTCCCGGTAGCCAACAAAAATGAACATTACGGTGTGATGCCATGTGCCCAAAGCAATGAATGGTCGGGTGGTCATCCGCAACCCTCAGCATACAAGCTGATGTAACTATGCACATATCCAGTTAGAACACTACCCAGCAGCAAGGGTCCTGCAAAAAACACCAATTACCTGGCTGAAAAACTGTAAAGGTTGAGTAAGGGCTTCCGGATCTTGCTCACAGCTCTAGAAAACATGGCCTCAGCCCACCTGAGCATCTGCTGTGTAGTCTATTGGAGAGCCAGAAAAGGAGATTACAAAACTGACTTCAGTATGGCTTCAGGGCAGGGTCAGTACTTGATAATGAGTTTTAAAGCAACAGCACTTTAGTGAAATAGCACTTTAGTCTCTCTTGCATTTGTCAGTTGCCTGACAGCATCTTGTCATTTAGAGGTTAATATCCAGAGACAGACACTAGTCACTACAGCAACAAATAATGGACAGAAATATATCCTTCCTAAAATAGCATTACTTAAAGTATGCCAACACTTCACTGAGTTGAAGCACTTCAGTAGCTTGCAAAGGATTGATATCTTTTGTTAATATAAATTGGTATTGTGATACACCCTTTACGCTCTTCATTTCAACTAGATGAGCCCAAACCTATTTGTACATTATTCATTGGAATGACAATCCCTCCTCTCCATGGAAGAAAAGCAAAAGTTACGTGAATGACAGATTACTGCTGTGATTTCAACCAAAAGTAGTAAAACAACCTCTCCTCTAGCTGGGAAAGTACAGCTTTCAAAGCAGGTCAAATATTTCAAGAACGGTAAATTAGCTGTGCACAAGCTTGTTAGGTGGAAAGATAACTGCGCTATTTCCATAGCAAAAATATTTAACTATTTTTGTGTATCCATAATTCAAAGCTTAGACTTAAATTTGTAGGCCTTGTCTTTCAAACCATTAAAAAAGGAGAATTGAATTATACCAACCATATCCAAGCCTGCTTTCACAACCTTTAATGCCACCTGGATTGGTTCTGTTAGCCACACATCTTTTACAATCCTGGGCAAAAAAGCCTGGATTTTCTTCATGTACTCTTCTGTCTTCTCTTGCCAAACTTCATCCAGTGGCTTCAAGGTTACATCGTAGTAGGCATCCTTCAGGGTTGCTAATGGCTCTGAAGCAAACACATTACATGAATCAAACCCCAGCTAGTATGTTACAAAGTGGCTGTTTGTTTGTTTGTTTGTCTCCCCACAGCTTCCAGCATAAGTGGAGAAGGGACACAGAAAACAGGAAAAGGCAGCTTTGTTTTCATGGCAGTTAGGCACATTTCACAGCTGTGTGCGTGGACAGTGTTACGAAAAACTGAAAGAGGCATTTAGCCATAACCCTGATCCACTCATACGCCTTATATTATAAATACATTGCCACTTTCCAAAATAAATGTAAGGAATGCTTTGCAATATCCCACCATCAGAGCTGTACAGCTCAACCTGAACCTGCTCAAGGAATAACAGGACAGTTTGGTCACAACTAATTTCAAACACGGTATATCAACAAAATCCCACTTTTGTTGGGAAGTGTCTAGAGGTCCAAAGTGAGGTTTTAATCTTGTGAGAGCTGAAGGTTCTCTCAGCTAATTACAGCTGACCGTATTTCTCAATGGTTTCAACGTAGGCCATAGTCCAGCTGAACAGTGAATTAGTGGCTACTGGATAGACTTGGAAAAAAACAGATCAAGTGAAATCTGATTAGTACAAGCATTCAAAACTCCAGGATGGATAGGAACAGCCCTTTGGGAGGAAATGCTTGCCAGGGAACTGTTAGCAGAAATGCTTCAGCTTAAGAATTAGGGCTCTGTTCTCATCCCATTGAACCCAGACTCCTGTGTCCAAGAGAATGCCTCTTCAATTATTTCATTAGAAAGGTGGTCACACTGAGGTTACTTAGAGCTTATTGCATCAAGGGTCCCACTCTGTGAACTAAGAGCCAAGGCCAGCACTTTTTGCTAGATCAAAATAGAAACATTTGTGCTGTTCAGCATCTTTTATACTCGTTTGTTTTGCACTGCACTGACATTGTCCTTATTCTCCTTGCTTTGCATGGTTTTGCTTACTTTGCAATTCATTCTGCATTTGCTGGACAACGTCTTGAATTTTATCCAGGTAAAGCGGGAGCTTGCTTCTCAGTATCTGCCTGATTCCACTTTGCTTCCACACCTGGACGACAGCTCTACCCACACTGTGCAGGAATCCTGCTACCTTCTGCAAGGCTATCGAAGGCCAGCCAGCTGCTTCAGACAGAAAATCAACTTGCTGCACCTCCAGTGGTTCCCAAAAAAGAAGAAATATCAAAATACATAGTGATCACAAGCAAAGCTTTGCCTCCATTCCAAGGCAATTGTGAACTCCTCAGTGTTGGTGCAGAGATATAGGATCTTTACCATGAAACATGTTTTTTGTCTATGTATAAATTGCAGGCTAGCACAGGTTTAACCATTTAAATGTTTGAGCAAAACAAAACAACTGCATGCAATATAATGATTTTTAACTAACACTGCATGAACATTTCATGGTGCTTTCACAGATGATGTACAGATACTTACTGATCTCCTGAATCTCCACATGTATCCGTCAAACTTCTTCATCTTCTCCGTCAGTTTGGCTTTCAGAAGGCTCCCAATTTCATTAAGTTTGTACTGTGAGAAGATGAATAAAACCTTGTGTTGTGGTTTAACTGGCAGGCAGCTAAACACCACACAGCCCTTCGCTTGCTCCCCCCCCCAGTGGGATGGGGGAGAGAATGGGGAAAAAAAAAAGTAAAATTCATAGTTTGAGATAAAGACAGTTGAATAGGACAGAAAAGGAAGGGAAAAATAATAATAATAATAATGATGATAAAAGAATATACAAAATAAGTGATGTACAATGCAATTGCTCACCACCCGCCAACCAATGCCCAGCCAGTCCCCACGCAGCGGTCGCCACCCCCCCGCCAGCCTTCCCCAGCTTAGATACTGAGCATGACGTCGTATGGTACGGAATATCCCTTTGGCCAGTTGGGGTCAGCTGTCCTGGCTGTGCCCACTCCTGGCTTCTCGCTGGTGGGGCATGAGAAGCTGAAAAGTCCTTGACTAGTGTAAAAGCACTGCTTAGCAACAACTAAAACATCGGTGTGTTATCAACATTGTTCTCATCCTAAATCCAAAACACAGCACTGTACCAGCTACCAGGAAGAAAATTAACTCTATCCCAGCTGAAACCAGGACAGTATCCACCCCTTATTCTATACCAGCTACATCATGCCCAGGTCCCCCACTTTCCAATACATTTCACTTAATCACCACCACTTTTCCTGTCTTTTTTTGATATATATACACACAGCTATCATTCCCTTGGTCTATGGGCCATCCCTATAAAATGCCTGTTGAGTTCATTTAGTCCATGACTTTGGGCTCCATCTGTCATAACAGTCCTTCAGGGCAGGAGGGATGGTGTGTGGTGTTGGATTGTTGCATGCTGAAGCCAGTTCTGGTTCCATCACTGCTGCACTTTGCTCGGTTTCATCAAAGTTCATTCTTCATTAATCTGGGTGATTCTTAACTGTAATACTGTTGATATGGCATATAGCCACCATAGAAGTGATGATATACAGTATTATATAGCAATTAACATCATACAATTTAATTCA